CAGAGGAGGGGGCAAAGGAGGTGAGGGGTGGGTGCAAAAAGAGGAGACGAAAGCAGACGAAAGAATATTGCTAGAGAGCAGGAAAGGAGACAATTTTAGAGAAGAAAATTTGTTCGGTCGCTACCCGGATTCGAACCCGGTACCTTTGAATGAGAGGCCAACACCATAGTTATAACCTCTAGGCCACGTGAGCCCCCTTAGTCAGTTTTACGGCACTTGCAACACAATAAGGTCATATAAGTGCCGAAGAATAGAGGTGTTACATGACAATAACATACACAAGAAGAAGGAGGAGAAATAAGCATAATTGTGTTTTCTGTTGTTGGGCCACCTTCAGCTGGAGCATTAAGATGTTTTTAAGGGATATTGTCCCCTTCTAAATGTAGGAGTTTTTACGCTCCCACTGTCACAATTTAAAAATAGTTTAGGAGTCGAGCTTCCAAACTTGCCTGTCAGGGCCAACCCAGAATGAGCGGGAACTGGGAACGATGCAACATACCAGAAGAAAACACCGAAATACCTGATGAAAATCCCCCCCCCCCCTCGGGAACTGAACTCAGTTCTTTAGTTTTAGTAAAGTTTGCAGTGCTCGCAACTATATACGGTCATCTGAGAGCCCTTCAGAAAATTACAAGAGAGTAACAAACATAAAAAAGAAGAAGGGGAGATAAAGACGATAGACACTTTATAGGAAAGAAGAAGAAGACCACACCAGAGCACCCGCCAACCACGCACCGTCAATTCTTGAGCATATGGGGTTACTGGTATCATCTTATATAGCCTGTTCACTTGCCTTGCTTTTGGTGAAAAAAAATATCCATCTATGTTGAATAGAAAGAGAAGTAAAAATATTTGCGATTGAAGGAGGTTAGGGTCGCCTTGTTTCAGAATCAAATTTAGCAAGAAAATGGCTGCCAAAGTTAAATGATTTCTATAGCTTGAGAGTCCTTGGAAACTGAAAATTTACATTTTTGTGCCTTTTATCCTCACAAAATGTGTTTTTAAATGGACATGAAAAAGATGTTGAGCCAAAAAACACAAAAATGATAAAAACTTCCCTACCGTAAAAAAAAATGCCAAAATCTTTCAATTTCATTATTTTGACGAGCACCTGATTTCACCACGATGACTCACATTATATCACGAAACACAAACCATCATCGGGAAGATAGTCGTTTGACAAGACGACAATATATATCACGAAACACAAACCATCACCACGAAGATAGTTAGTATTAGAAGAGGTTTTACAGCGCTTGCAACTGCATAAGGTCATATGAGCGCCAGAAGATTAGAGGTGTTACAAGAGAGTAACAAACATAAAAAAGAAGAAGGATAGATAAGGACAATAGATGTTTGATAGGAAAGAAGAAGCAAACCACACAAGAGCACCCGCCAACCACCTACTCGGGAAGATAGTCATAACACAAGTCGGCAATATCTCACGAAACATAAACCATCACCACGAAGATAGTCATTAGACAAGTCAGCAGTATCATGAAAGTGATAGTTTCAGTTTATTATATCTGCAAGCAGAAACGTTACACACAAAGTTTTGTTTCATCATCATCGAATCATGAATCATAGGCACAAGAATGTTGGAATGAATCTCACTCGATATATTATATGGAACATATGGCAGGTCAACCCTCTTCCATCTCACAAGAAAACAAAACCTCAATTGGTCGCTTTTATTTAAGGACAAGCGGGCTAACTCATATTTCGGGGGTTCCAGAAATCATAACCTACACCTAAAGTGGACATTGCCCTACCTATACACCCCGCATAATTTAGCCAAATTTGATCATTTTTTGCATAATTTCTGATTATTTTCCTTTATCATTTTTTGGGTTAAAATTACCAGAATCGCATAATTTCACATTTTTGGGCTCAGTTTGCATAATTTCAGATTTTTTTTTCGGCATAAAACCGCGGGGACAGACCTAGAAGTTTGGTTTCATTGATGTGTATATTTGTTTGCTGTTCTGTTTCACAGAAAACTCTCCTTGTCTTTTAAAAAGAAACTGAGCAAGGGGCGAAAACTTTACCTTTAATTTTCTTTAAAAAAACAGCATTTTTCGGGATAGCCCCCTTGTGCTTAATAAAGCGACCACTTGACAGACAGAGGGGTGAAAAAATGTCACGAAGTAGCGAGCAAGTTTCAAGCGAAGCCGAGCCTCACCTCTTCATCAAAATACATTTTCGGGACAAATTTCCGTAAATATATTTCGCTCCCAACAATGACATTTGGATTATCTAAGACGCCGCGACAGCTTCCACCCTGCCCGTCAGGACTGACGTAGGCTGTCACAGCTACACCTTGTCTGCCAGATGGTCACAACACACTGAGCCCAACATTGAGACTTTTTTCTTATAACAAATGCACTTTTTTTCTTACAATTGCATTTTTTTAAAATATGTGGTACATGTCTCGGTAGCTTCTTTTTATTGACAGTATCTTAACCTCGGATAAATAATGTGTATGTTGCAGAAATATTTGGTCGAAATTCAACCAAAAAATATATAACCATGTTCGATTTGTTAAAAGAATATTTTTTTCTCTCCAGGGAATTTTGTTTCATGGGCTCAGTGCATTATAACATCTTGCAAACAGGATTACATTTTTGGAAGAAACACCTGTAAATCTTTGCGCCTACATAGGCCGAAGGGCTAGAAGAACCCAGGTGGCCGCTGGATCGGGAAAGAAAAGTAAAAGTAAAGTTGCGCCCCCATTAATCAATGCTACATTTAGATCTTTTGGGTCGCGGACCACCGCGCCTGTGAGGACAAATGTGGGCAGTGTGCGATCTACATCGGAGTCCCCTTTTGTCAAAATCCACGAGACTGACGGATTTTCTTCTGTTTAACGATTTTGGGTTACGGAGTTTGTCTAATAGTAAAGAAAAAAAAACCTGTGGACTTTTGTCTTCTTTCGGTTTCTGTGTTTTCACAACAACCGCCCTGGCTTTAAATAAACCGACTCTGCTACATGTGAACATCCCTGCACAGAGTGGAAATATTCCGTAAGTCTTCCCTACTACATGGGAATCGAACCCGGGTCTCTTGGGCACTACAGCAAGGCGCCTGTCTGCTACACCACAAACAAATTTCAACTCCATCATGAACAATCCTTTAATCAAAGTAGATTCAGCCAGTCAAAATTTTTTTTTTTTTAAAGCACAGAGTACAAATATTTGAAATCCAACATGTTTACTGCTCAGTCAGCGTGCCACGTCTCTCGACGTTCCAATCACAGCTGCAAGATCTACGCCCGAAGTACAAACGTAAAAAAAACTTTCGAGAATTCTGATGGCAGCTCAGGAATATAGCGGAAAGCAAAAATCAATCTAATTATCTGCACAAGGAAATTCAAATGCCAAAGAACTCAGTAAGTAAAAAGACATTCAAAATAAGCCACAGTTCTCTACATGCACGAAGATTTTCAAAACAAAAAGCATCTCAACTCTAATATATCATTAATATCATCAACAACAACAACATACAGATACTGAAACAGTAAACTCCATAAGCAGAACTGGGAACAGGCTTTGTTTTCTTTTGCTTTGTTCCCCTAAACTGATATTTAAATTTTATTTTAACAGACGTTTAGATGCTTCTACGACATCCTTTGAGAGATTTTTTTCAAAAAGCCAAAATGAATTTCCCTAAGATCATGCATGCACTGTGGGGTTGTAAGGAAAACGCGTCGAATGAATCGAGAGAGATGATGTGAATACTTTCATGTCTTATAGGACGACTGAGTATACTCTTCTGAAAATATCAAATGATTACCAACAGAAACGCGACCAGAAGAACCAACCATCTGATGGCCTGGCAGCACTCACAATGACAAAACCGGTCCGGGGGAAGGGGAAGGGGGGGGGGAGATACACACCTCTGACCGAACAAGCAAATTTGACACACGATCTCTGAGATCAAAGAAAAGAACGATTCATCATCTTCTGATCAAAATGTGAGTGATGCTACTACATGCCTTCTGCTCCCATCACCACAATTTAGATCACTCAGGGCACGTGGGCTGATCCCACTCTGCCTGTCAAAAAATGGTGAAATGGTAAAGGTTTAACTTCATTTAACACCCCTTTCAACACTATTAGGTTATTTAAGAGGCTGGGGGACCCCTCGAGTTTAGGAGCGTCCATCTCCGAAAGGACCGAGCCAAGTGAAATATTCGTGTCAAGTTTCAAGTGTCTTTCCCCACTGACCATCGTTGGACTGATCTGTCTGTCAGAACCAACAGAGGTTTGGTGGAACGCAATAGCATCCCAATACACAAAACAAATACCACAGGAAGAATAATCCCCCCGCTCAGGAATCAAACTCACTACTTGTACCTCAACGGGCAACTATCAAGAGTCTAACTACCCACTACAGCACAGATGTTGGCGAGGACAGTAACTGCCTGTGACCAAACACGTATCATCCTCATCTCCTCTTATCAAACATTTATCGTCCGTTTTAATGTTTACGTTCTTTGAGGGTTACTCTCTCATTTCCAGCACTTATATGACCAAATTGTGTTGCATGTGCCGTAAAACTAGACAGTCGGTAAGTGAGGATTCGACTATGAACCCACAAATACAACGACTCCAACAAATGACAGGGGCATCAACATCCATGAGTGAGTGCTTTCCCCTGGACACCACCGTAAAGGACAATGGGCCACCCTCAGCTAAAGACAGGGTTCCTGCCATGAACTCCCCACCAAATTCAAGGAGATTTCAAGGAAGTTTCAAGGAGAAATTTTGAGAATTCAAGGAGATTTGGTCAAGAAATTCATGCCGTTTTTCGATGGCGCACCATGAGAAATCCAACAAAAAAAATTTTGTTCATGTCCAATCCGGCAAAATTCAAGGAGTTTTCAAGGAGATTCCTCAAATTCAAGGAGTTTTCAAGGAGGTTCCTCAAATTCAAGGAGTTTTCAAAGAGATTTCTCCTTGAATGCAAATTCAAGGAGGTCGCAGGAACCCTGTAAAGATTTGGAAAAATGACAGACTAGATAAATCTACACAAAGCATACTCCTGCTGGAATGTAGGGTCTATGCGATGTGAAAGTCATTAGCCTACCTCAGAGAAGAACGAAAAAAGGGAAGGAATATTTACCACAAACAAATGTTAGCTCTTGCCAAGCTCAGTAGCAAACTAAAAAGTACTACGCAAAATATTCTTCACTTGCAACAGAATTCAGCAGAAAATATATGTCTAGCATTGTGGTGAACTCAGGTGCTCGTCAAAATAATGGGATGGAAGAAACTTGACATTTTTCCCTTTGTTGGTCAATTTTTATCAGGTTTTTTTTTTTTTGGGGGGGGGGGGGGGGGGGGGCTTTTGGGCTCAGCTCCTGTTATGCCCTTTAAAAAACCCAACAATTCTGTGTGAAAGTTTCAGAAAAAAATTGACCAAGGGCACAAAAATCAAAAACAATTTCCAAAGACAATCAAGCTTTGGAAGTCCCCCAACTTTGGCAGCTATTTTCTCACTGACTGACATCAGGTGGCCACACCTCTTTCAATGGTAAATATCTCAACTTCTATTCAAGATAAATATATGAATTGTTAAAATCAAAAGCAAGACATATGAACATGCCTTAAGTTCTACCAATAAATAAATCCACATGCTCAAACCCTGACAAGCGCCTGACTCCACCGCGTCGCGACAACACATGTGTGATTAGTCACCGCTACTTTGTCAACAATACACTCAACTATGTGCAAGCAAATAATTACTTGAATGTAAGATATAAGCAGCATATGATATACATAAATTATTCCTTTCCATACGGGTACTTGGACGTTAAAGAGCCCCGTTCATCAATCAAAACATAAAAGTAAAAGTCAAGGCAGGTCTCCGACAGACAGATGCAGAAATGTAGCGATAGGAAACTTTCTTTGAATATTGAAAGGAAAAGAACAAAATAAATCTGAAAATATATGTACCTACCCTGACACCTTGATTCAAGTTGAAAAACATTGATGGAAAAACAATACCTATTTTCCTCAAAAAGAGAAAAGCAAATCGCACACCAGGAAAACGTAACTTTCAAGCACGATTTATTCAACAAGACGAATGATTCTGTGCAAAATATATATAAATAGAAAAGCCTTGCACACCAGCATCCACACTACACACTGGCACATTCACACACACTACAGACTACACATAGACACATCCACACACACAAAAACAGCTGATCTCACAGAGCCACACACAAAAGTGGATATGCTCAAACTGGACGTAGATGAAGGACATGAGAGGAAACAGCATTGTTTAACTTAACCCTTTAAACCTTACCGAGCGGTCCTCACCAAAGTCCGGTATTCCAAGAAAAGGGGAGAAATACTCTCCCACACTACCATACACTATATATTTATATTTTAAAAATTAATTAAAGACAAATTTTTTTTTCTCCACAAAAAAACCCCCAACAAAATCTAACTCACATAGATCTAGCAGAGCGCGCTCATATGACCGTATGCAGTTGCAAGCACCGTAAAAAACTTACCAAAAAAAACAAAAACCGCTTGCAGGCTTTCACAAATTTCCCTCTAGGTCTTGATCTAACAGCGCCCTCTTCCAGCACGTCCGAATGTTACTGGATGTTGGTAAAAAGGTTGTGTGTGTGTGGCAGGGAGAGAGAGAGAGAGAAAAGGTTGTGTGCGTGGGAGAGAAAGAGAGTAAGAGAGAGAAAGGACAGGAAGAAACAAGACAAACATAGATCTAAGTACATCTCTCCCGGCGTGCAGTCACATACAGAGAAGACAGTGGCTACCACAGTACAACCACACACTCACTAGCTCGCTACTTCACAGACAACAGGTAGTCAACACAGACATTTATATTTTTACCTCTTGGCACAAAAACAACAGAAAAAAATGTCCTCACCCTTTTCGTAATGTATTCAGTGCACACTTCATCACCACACAACACGCACAAACTTTGTACATAAAACACAAGCCATACATATATCTGGACAATGGAAAAACCATTACAGTCTTTGAATGGAGACTCAAAGACTTCAATTATTCTGTAAATAGCACTAATAAAAAATCCACTCGATACTAAAAATTCTGGTCCTCCTTCACAGTAAGGATCAATTTTAGAGAAAACAAAAGGCTCTGCATCACAAAAGATAGCAAAATAAATCTCAGCGAACCAGCTTATTTTGATCAACAAAGAAACGTCAGTCAACACTCTTCATTTTTCGAAAAGGTCAGCACCGAAATTTGAAAAAGTCATCAAAACCTCTAGATAAAAGCACACCACAAAAATTTTTAAAAACCCAAAAACTTAAGAAAACAAGATAGAAAAAAGAAAAGGACAAAAGTTTGGCTAAAAAAAAAAAGACATGAATTTGTGTTGACCAGTAGCTGGTGATGTCCGGGGGGGAAAAATACAACGACAACGAATCAGCAGACTGGTCTGTGACATGGCACCACAGTTATCACATCGCCAGACACACACACACACACGGACATACATCACGGTACACTGACCTGTGACGGCTGGAACAAAATTCACACGCACACACACACATCACGATAAATTGATCAATAATGAGTGGAATAAAATCCTCACACACACACACAACAAATAACCCCAGAAAACCAAGCAGTCCATCGACAACCTCATGACTATAACGACAGGAGAGAACAGAACATTTCTCGATCAAATGAACAAGAAATAGTGAGAGTAAGAAAAGATATATGGGGGAAAAGAAGAAAAGAAAAAAAAAAAGAATATCCACAGTTTACTTACTCAAAACGAAATAAGTCGAGACAAAAAAGTTTGTAACCAGACACACGGAGGGGAAAGAAGTTGTGCTACTGATAGATTGTACTTGTTGCATTAACACTTTATGCTGGGAAAGGAATGGAGGCTTGGAAAGAAAGAAAAAAAAAAACACCAAAAAAAACCCAAAACAAACAATAACATTCAATAATGCGAAAACACAATCACAATGTTCAGAAAAAGGATGAAAAAATGACAAAAATATCAATGTCCGCATCATACACATAACAAACTATAACTAAGTATTCATTACATGAGATGAATCTTGCACAATCCCTGGCAGACATTTTGCACACAGGGAACTTCAATTTAAAAAAATTAAAAATAAAGTAATTTAAATTACAAAATAACCCCAACAAAACAAGAAAACAAAAACACGAAATGTCAGCTCTTACTTCAATAAATTTCAAGGTAAGTTGTGATAAAGAATCCAATGGTACCTAAACTATCTTTTGTTGTACCGATTCCACGTAGCAGTTGTGCCACCAAATGAGAGCCAGCAAACATCGGCTATGTCCTAGCTGAGTTTCACAGTTTGCAAATATAAATCCACACCCTTTTTATTTTTTCTTATTTTGTTCCGCGATAAGAAGTAATGGTGGTTGGGGCAGATTGCAAATTACGTATATTTATATAAGTCATCTTAAAAAAAAAAAAAAGGGAAGCTTTTAATCATTATAGTAATTTCCGTTGTTCTGTAAACTGCAACCGCAAATTCTTTTCTCAAGTAACGTATTCTGTTCCAGGTGGCAGAGAAGGGTGTTGGTGAAACAGACAAAACCAGAAGAGAAACGAATACAAGAAGAAGTGCCCAGTAAACTAAAAAAAAAACCCAAAAAAATCAAACAAAAACTTAGATCATCATGCACCTGCGAGCAGGACTGGGGAAAAAAGAGATGGTGCAGAAATGTAGAGTAGATAAGATACTGTTGTGGTGAACTACGCGCCGTCCAGATTGTTATCCCCAACTGGTGTTTCAAGGTCGCTGTCTCAAGGTCACCGTCTCCACGTCGCAGCAGCTGCTGCAACTGGCCAGGACCCCCGATGTGCGCGCGACGACGGCCAACAACACAACACGGCGCCTTTACACCGACTCGTAGCCCGACTTGCGGGAACGGCGACGTCCAATCAGGTATGCGATGAGCACGATGAGCACCAGACCGGCCAGGGCCGCTCCGACAGCGATGGGCACCACGCTGCTCGTCTCTTCATCCGCCGGGCACTCGGCAACTGGGGGGGGGGGGGGAATTCAAACCACAGCTATGATCGAAACTGTCTTGATGGGGGAGGAGGGTATGTGTGTTTTTTTTATTGGGTAGATGTATTACGGCACTATCGACATAATTTTGGTCATTTAAGCGCCAACAGGTTTCACCACGACAAAATCAGACGTGTTTTTAGTACGAGTCTTTCGGAGCTCCAAACCGCACACGATCACACTATTTTCAATATGCTAAAAAGACGAACAAACATTTATAAAAAATGTTTGGTTAACATGGAAAAGGCTTATTTACATTTGTATATACAATATAAATTTCAGTGTATGTATATAAATACACCGATAACGATAACTATATATTTTCATATTCTATTAAATAGTCTAATTTCTTTTATGCAACTTAAAATTTTTCTTGGCTCTATGGTGTCAAAAAGGTCTTAATATCTTTACATTTAAAATATTTCTCACGAACATAATTAAATTCGACACATTCCGTTAGGATGTGCCGAACTGTGAAATTTGTGTTGCACGCCACGCAAAAAGGAGCAGGGTATGTGTGTGTGTGAGTGTGTGAGGGTGTGTGAGGGTGTGTGTGTGTGAGTGTGCGTGCATGAAAAAATACTCTAAGAGTTTCATTTCCTTTTTGTTGCTTGCTTGTTCGACTTGAGTATAATATGTGAGGTGCACTCACAAAATAAGTTTTTTTCTCTCTTGAGAAATTTTGCCTTCTGGGCTTAATACAACTGAACAGTTTGCAGACCACGTGGTCGTTTCATCATTGTACAGAATGTCTTTTAAAAAAAGAGGACCCACTTGAAGGGCAATAACTCGGGACATCTTAAGACTAATTTCAATGAAACTTTGAAGACATGAAATTCAACCAGGGGGACACTACACTTGTAAAAAGGAAAACAAACCAATCACCATCAAGTTTTTAAAACAAACCCAAATGGGGTGAAACACAAAACTTTGCAACTTCTTAAAAATCAACAATACTGATTGGTTTCAAATATAGTCACAATTTGTGCATTAAAGAACAAATTTATGAACAAAATTCTTTTGCCAAATAAATCCACAAAGAGATGACTGAAATCTCCAGGGATTGGCTACACCTCTCCCTAAAAGCCCTGATAAATGGGACATTTTTTAGTAAGAGTTTTACAGCACTTGCTACACAATAAGGTCATAAGTGCCGAAGAACAGATGTGTTACAAGAGAGTAACATACACAAAAAAGGAGGAGGAGAGATAAAGACGAGAAATTTTTTATAGGAAAGAGGGAGGAAGCCAAACCAGAGCACCTGCCAACCACCCACGTAAATGGGAGAGTTGGCAGACGTGCATTTACTCACTGGATCCATAGAAATTTCCATCACTTTTGGTTCTGAAGGCCTGGTACTTGAAGTCGGTTGTGGTCAGTTTCACCTGTGAGGTGGGGAAAAAAACAAAAACATTAGGTAAATATACTTTGCTGTTTGTTTGGAGGGGGAGGGGGGAGTGTGTTTGTTTTTATAAGTTAAACGGCACTTGCAACAAAATTCGGTCATATAATTTTTCTTTGAGTAAAGAGAAGCACATCATTGACAAAATAACGGTCATTTAGTGCTGGGAAAAAAAAGACGGGACAGACAGAAACATCAGAGAGAGGGAAAGTAAAGGAGGAGGAGTTACCAGAGGCACCCTCCATCTATCCACTTCAGTCGTATTAGTGCCGAAGATTAGAGGCAGTGCCCTCCCCCCACCAGAAAGCAGAGTTTAGTTAATTAGCAGTAACCTTCGCCTAAGAGGAACCAAGACTTTCTTCCCAAAGGAGCTGCTGTAAGACGGACACCGCTGACCACAAGCGATCAATACATCCCAATCTCTGAACAAGTAACTACGTACCCCGCTCTCGTCGATGCAGGTGGAGTTGGCGTTACACTGGTAGTAGCCGCCCAGGTTGGTCTTCAGGAAGCCTCCTTTCTTCTCCATTGTCACATTCTTGGTCACTGGAAGAAAAAAAATGGCAATACAGGTTTTTTAAAAATTTTTTAGAACATGACACTTGTTTTTTGGGGGGTTTTTTAGTAGAGGGTTTTACGGCGCTCGCAACTGCATAAGGTCATATGAGCGCCAAGGGGTGGGTGTCAACAGAGAAGTCATTACAGGGAATCAGACTTACTCTGCTCATCTCTCTAGCTTCAACAGCACAAGGTCTGCTTCGACTATCAAGGCACCCCCAAAATAGCGGGTCACAAGAGAGTGACAAACATACAAAAGAGGTAGAGGAAAATGACAATAGTAAGGATTAGGAAAGAAAAAGCAGCAGTTCCCTGTTGTAGTTCCGGCATAGTTATGAGCATGACATTGTTGAATCAGCCCATTTACAGTTCTACAGTGCACTAGAACGAGAAATGTCCCCCCCCTTTGGGAGTGGCCTAAAGACAGGGGGGGGGGGATATTATACGCCCAAAAATACTCTATCAACACAAAAAAATAAGTCGCTGCCGCACCTGGGGAGGCGGCCTTGAATGCAGCTGTGTTGTAGGTGACGCTGATCTCCGAGATGGAGACTGACGTGTCGTCTGAACTGCTGACATCCTTGGAGAACAGGAAGTCCAGCTCCCAGCCGTTGCCAAACAGGATCTGCATCGACTCCACCGTGGCATTGAGCGTGCAGTTCCCTGAGGCCACAGCGTCTGCGGGGATGTTTAGGTCCCCCGTGCGGTTCACCTTCTTTCCCTGAAACCCCCAAAAAGAAAAACACCCCATTAAAGTGCAATAAGATAAGATTAGCTTACCTTAATTTGAATAAAGGTACACCGTATATAATAACCTATTACAACAACTAAAAATTTCATTCCAATGTCATGTCTGTGCTCCCCTACGGCCGCGAAACTTGGAAGACAACAAAGACAGCGCTGAAAAAAGTCCAGACTTTCATAAACAGATGTATGATAAGTACCCTGAGAATTAAGTGGCAGGATAGAATAAGAAATAAAGAGCTGTGGGAAAGGACAGGACAAAAGAATATAGAAGCAGAAATAGGACACACCGTCAAAAAGCCCCGAGGAAACATCACAAGACAGTCGCTGCAGTGGAACACAAGGCAGGGGTAGGCCACGGGAAACAAGGAGGAGATGCGTGGAAAGGGACACTAGAGAGATGAAGCTCACTTGGAACGAGCTTGGAAGGATGGCCCAGGACAGAGATAAATGGAAGGAGCTAGTATGTGGCCTAAACCTTGCTAGGGGTGAAAGGCACTGATGATGATGATGATGATGACAACCCCCCCACCTCCACCCCCCCCAAAAAAAAAGCAAAAAAAAGAAAGAAACTGACCGCGACAGTGTCCTCAAAGGTGACGGAGATGGTGAAGAATCCCTTCATCAGGATACAAGTTACGTTGCCGTTGGTTACGTTGAGGCTGATGTCTTGCTGGGGGGGCAGGACGGTGGTGGGGGCAGCGGTGCTGGTGGGCTGGGGCGTGGAGGTCTTGTCCTGGTCACACTCCGACGCTGTGGATTTGATTGATTGAGTTGGTGTTTTACGGCAATATCGACTCAATTCTGGTCATGTAAGTGCAAACAAGTTTTATTGTAACAAATCTCTATCATCATGTTATGTTTTAGTAAAAGTTTTACGGCGCTCGCAACTGCACACGGTCATATCATCATCATGTTAAAAGGACAGACATTTATAAAAATCTTTGTAAATATGGTAAACTTATTTACAATAATAATTTCAGTGCAGGTATATACACCGACAACCACAACTATTCATTTTTATACCCTACGAAACAATCTTATTTCTTTTGTAAAACATTTTTTTCTCGGACTAACGATGTCAAAAAGAGTTTTGACATCTTTCCATCTGAAGTATAATTTTATGCTTATATCGTCGAAGTCGAAAAATTCCGTCAGAATGTGCCAAATTGTAAAATATCATGTGTTGCACGCCGCGCAAACCAACGCTGTGGACACACACAGACACATAGGGGTAGTGTTCCTCTAGCTGTAGCAGTAGCAAGAGCTTTGCGGCATTTGCAATAAAAGCAGGTAAGATAAATCCCTACCTTAGAATTACAAAGTTCTGTCTTTGACGTTTTTGGCCGATGTGGGTACCTGAGACCATGAGGTCAGAAACCAAATGTGTCACGAAGCAGTGGAATCAGGCGCTTGTCAATTTTGGGGCATATGAAGTTATTGGTATAATCTTAAAGCCTGTCCATTTGCCTTATTTTTTTTATCGGAAATATATCCATTTATCTTTCCAATAAGACAAGATTATGGATATTGGCGATAGAAGGGTGTGGGGGTCGCCTGGTTTCAGAGGTAAAATTAGCCAGAAAATGGCCGCCGAAGTTGCATTATTTCCATGGAAACTGAAAATTTACATCTTCTATGCCCTTAATCAACGTTTTTCAGTAAAATCCACACAGGAATGTGTTCTTTAACGAACATGAAAGGTGCTAGGCCAAAAAAACAAACAGAGATGCCAACCACAGAAAACCGAAATGAGTATTGGGAAATATGACAATGTGTATTTTCAGGGGAAAATGTGTATTCCCCACGACCGACTAACTAGTAAAATAAATTACTAGCTCACCAGCACGAAAAAGGGAGCACACATGCGTACAATATACATGTATCCAGTCAACAACATGTCAGTGTTCAATGTCGTACTGGGGTCTTGTTTGACTTAAATATTTTAGTCTATTATATAATATTTTCCTCTCATTATTTATAAAAAATAAATCCTGCTTTGAGAGTTCGGAAGGGCCTAGAACAAGAATTTCGACTATTAAGAACCAGTCTGGGTGTCATGATTCATAATATTATGAACTGACAGACTCAAATTATTGCTCAAACTCAGAGAAAAGCAATAACTTGAATGGCTCAAGTAGACCCATGCACTGTGAGAGTTGTAACAACTGTGGTAGGGCAAGATGCAGTGACACTGAAAATCTGCCAGTCTTGAACAGAAAGCTACAACATACACTGTAGGTATAATTTACTATCACCAATCCAAGTAGGCATAATTTACTATCACCCATCCAATGAAACGCGAACACTTTATTTCAATAACACAGAATTGCAAAGTATGAGGGGTCCCAATTCCGCATATGGCCTGCACCAACGCGCGCTTTGCAGAAAGCTCTAATCAAAATTCTGAAAAGTGCTTCCAAGTTTTTGTCCTCTGGTGTTGCCTTAAACCCCCGATAGTATCTTAAACCCCAAAAAAAATCAATAATCTCCTCCCCTATTCCGTAGTCCTATACTTCGCAACGCCTTTACTCCCACAAAGACGGTCTTTGCTCACACAATGCCGCATTTATTTATAATGCGAATGCGCGCAGGTTCAGTGACCGGTCACGATGGCGAGCCAGAAAATCTAAAAATCGGACGACGCTTGTATTTTCTTTTCTTCTTTTTTTTTTCACAAGTGACAGCACAGCAACGAGTCCGAGTATTTATTTCATATTTTTATTTGCACGGCGACATTGTGTTTATACTGCACAATCTGCATGCCACAAATGTTGCGTTATCAGACAACTGCTGGCAAACTCTCGGTGGTAATGAAAGCGAAAGTAGATCTTGATTTTCCCGATCGAGCCTCGGTGTCGCATACGCTTCCGCCTGCCGCCATAGCTGCCTTTTCGCGTGAAAGTGAAACGTACTCTCCAGACGGGGAAAAGATGAACGAATATAATATCACGATCGCGACCAGTAAAAATGAACTTACTGACCACATCGGACTTGGTTTTCAAATATTCCAGTTCTGCGATACTGATACTATTTTGACAAAAGATGAGACCTGAGATAATTAAGTTTACTCGCCCAAGCTGAATCTCATAGTTTTCGCATTCCAGGATGCGTATTTTTTCATGAAAAGTCGTATTCGCGTATTTTCTGCCAAAAATCGTACTAAAATACGTAAAATTGTACTGGTTGGCATCTCTGAAAAAAAAAAATTGAAAAAAAAATTCCAAAACCTGAGAGGAAAATGTCGGTTTGTTCATTTTCATTATTTTGATGAGCACCTGATTTCACCACGCTGCCTCACTAATGTTTCATCTGTTCAATCAAAATCATACGATTATCCGGAGTCATTGTCAAGATATTCAAAGAATTGAATTTGAAAAAGAGTGTGTGCATGTATAGGTGCGTATGTGTATATGTGTGTGTGTATATGTGTTTGTGTACATTGTGTATATGTGTGTGTGCGTGTATATGTGTGTACATGCGTGTGTGTGCATTTGTGTGTGCATAGGGGACAGAAGATGGGAAAGCGTTTTAAAAACAACCACCCCCCCCCCCCCAGTGGGACGATGTGCCGTCACAAAACTCACTGTCGGAGCTGAAGCTTCCGTTGACGATGTTGCCAAACTGGATCTGCAGCTGGTCCGTGGTGGCTTGCAGCGTGAAGTTGACGGGCGTGACCTGCTGCGTGGTGAAGGCGTGGTCCACCGAGGCCTTGCACAGGAACGACTGGTTGGTACTGAACGAGCCGAACGCGTCCGCCGTGAACACCACGTCCGCTGGTGAGAGAGGGTGGGGGGGTTTATTGTAAAAAAACTATCAATTACATTGCTTGTACATAGAGGAAATGATAAAAACTATCAGTTTTTGCTTTTTGTTTTAGTAAAGTGTTTTACGGCACTTGCAACACAATAAGGTCATAAAAGTGCAGAAGATTAGATGTGTTACAAGAGAGTAAAAAACACAAAATAGAAGGAGGGGAGATAAAGACAATAGATATATGATAGGAAAGAAGGGGCAAACCACACAAGAGCACCCGCCAACCACCCACACAGGAAATTGTAAAAAAAACTATCAGTTACATTACACGTACAAGACTTTTTAGTTTCAGCAAGCGTTTTATGGGACTTGCAACACAATAAAGTCATATAAGTGCCAAAGATAAGAGGTGTGTTACAAGAGAGTAACAAAAATTTTTTAAAGAAGGAGGAGAGATAAAGGTGATAGTTGTTAAATAGGAAAGAAGGAGCAAACCACACCAGAACACCCGCCAACCATCCACACAGGAACTAGTAAAAAACTATCAGTTCCATTGCCTGTACAAGACTAAGAAATATATTATGCTTTCTCTTTGTCTCTCCTAATCCTACATCCACAGAGCACACAACACATACACAAAATGGCTTCACACAAACAACAAACATGCTGTTACCATTTCTAGACACTTTCAAAGCGTAAACATTTGTGAGGCGTGCGGACAAAATGAGTTACTTTTCGCAATCCACAATTAGAGATATTGGCTAAAATTTGACACTAAGGTCAAATTGGTAGATTATTCTGTTGAAGCCACATTCTTTAAATAAAACACGCCATTCTATTATTTCATACCAATAAATTGTAAAAACTTCACCTATAGGCGTGAAGTATCTACTTCCAAGGGGTCAAAAACGAGAAGTAACTCATTTTGTCAGCAAACTTCACATTTGTTTGCTTGTTCGATTGAGCAGGAGTTTTACCGCACTATCGACTCAGTGCAAACATTTTCATCAATGTGGTTTCAAACTGCGAGCATAACGACAACGACTTCCCTCCTCAACACAACAATGGGACGGAAGCCTGAAACAACTGCGACTGTATACATTCTTCACAACTTTCCAAAATGGATCAAAGTTGCTTGTTCTTGTTTTAATAAATAATTCTTCGCCGGTAGGTTATTACCCCCCCCCTTCCCCCACCCCATGTCAGGAACTCTTCACCGACCTGTCTCGTTGACCTTGGGGAACACGTCGACGGGTGTGAACTTAGCGATGGGTTGGATCTGCTGAGCCCCGGCGGTGGCCCCATCCAGCTGGAACCACACCTCCACCGAGCTGGTCAGGTTGAGCTTGATCAGGGTACAGTTGCTGTCAGCGATCAGGGTCGCGCTGTCGAACGGCAGGGACATCGAGCCCTGGAGGGGGAGAGACAACGCTGCAGTTAGTTATTAGTTTTAGTAAGTCTTTTACGGTTCTTGCAACACAATAAGTAATAAGGTCATATAAGTGCCGAAGATTAGAGGTGTTACAAGAGAGTAACAAACACAAAAAAGAAGGTTTTTAGTTTTGGTGTTTAACAGTACTTGCAACACAATAAGGTCATATGGGTGCCAAAGGTTAGAGGCGTTGCAAGAGAGTAACAAACACAAAAAAGAGGGTTTTTAGTTTTAGTGTTTTTCAGCACTTGCAACACAATAAGGTCATATAGGTGCCGAAGATTAGAGATGTTACATGAGAATGACAAACACAAAAAAAGATGGTTTTTAGATGTAGTAAGTCTTTTACAGCACTTGCAATACAATAAGGTCACAAAAGTGCCGAAGATTAGAGGTGTTACAAGAGAGTAACAAACACAAACAAGAAGGAAGGGAGATAAGGACAATAGATCTAGATGTTTGATAGGAAAGAAGACGCAAACTGCACCAGAGCACCCATTAATCACCCACTGAAGCTGCACCCAGCATTTTTCTTTTGTATTGCTTTGGAAAGTAATTTGATTTCAAATGAGCTAGTGATTTACAGCACTGTCGACACAGATGTAAGTGTTTTTTGGCGCTTGCAAGTGCATAAGGCCACATGAATGCCAGGGACACATTCATGAAGCATGTACAGTTCGGTAGGAATTAATTTTGAACTTTGCTCGCGTGGTGGCCAAAGCGTGCTCTTATCGATTTTACAACTACCAACAGATCTTTTACCATGAAAATATGGTCACTTTTAAGCACAAGGGGGCTATCCCGAAAAACGCTGTTTTGAGAAAATCGAAGGTAAAATTTTTGCCTCTTGTTCAGTTTCTTCAAAATACAAGGAGAGTTTTGTCAATAACCAAACAAATATACACACCAATGAAACCAAACTTCTCCTATACGTAGGGCAATGCCCACTTTTGGTGTACGTCAAGATTTCTAGAAACCCCCGAAATCTGGGTTATCCCACTTGTCCTTAAAAGCGACCATATACTAGCCGCAATCTGAAACTTGAATCAGTGGTTGAATATTGTTAGACTTTCACAGAGACAGTTTTGCAGTTCGCTGTTAGTCAGGAGACTAGCACTCATTCAGCCAGATGACTACAGGGACAAACACCTGCCTTTTCTTTTCTCTCATTTAAAAAAAATGTATTTAACACCACCCCCCCACCACCCCCACCCCCCCCCACCACCACCACGAATCGAGAGTTTAGATCATTTAGCCAACACTGGCTGAGCCAGATACAACATCCCTGCAGAAAGACAAAAATATTCCGCAACAATCTCTCCCGTCTCCCCTCTCGGGAATGATACTTGGGTCTCCTGAAGGCAACAGCGAAGTGACTAACCGCTACACCACAGACGGACGTCTTTTCTCTCACAACATTTTGTGCCAGCTATGATATCTTACCAGGTCTTGCGTGCCGTTGGAGGCCGTGGCGTCAACTTTCCCACTCAGCACCAGCATGGCGCACGTGTTGCCAGATTTCTCCACAGAGAACTTCTTGGCGCTCGCTGAGGAAGACAAGTTTTAGTTTTAGTAAGAGTTTTACGGCACTAGCAACACAATAAGGTCATATAAGTGCCAAAGATTAGAGGTGAAAAATGGTGAAATGTTATAGGTTTAACGTCCCTATTAACATTCTTAGGTTATTTAAGAGGCCAGACCTCCGAGTTTAATGTCCATCTCCGAAAGGATTGAACCAAATGGGAAATTCATGTAAAGTGCCTTTCCCAAGGACACAACACGTCGGAATTCTAATGATTGCGAGTCCGGTAGCCTAACCTGAACCACTAGGCTACCGACGCCACCAATTAGAGGTGTTACACGTAAGAGAAAAACAAACACAAAGAAGGAGGAGAGATAAGTATGATAATAGATGTTTGATAGGAAAGAAGGAGCAGACCACACCAGAGCACCCACCAACCACCCACTTTAACACTCCCATCAACACTAGCAGGTTATTTAAGAGGCGGGACCTCTCAACTTAAGGTCCGTCTCTGATAAGACCAAGCTAACTGGGTCAAGAGCCTTGAAAACTCCGCAAAACCACATCGTAATTCAAGATCTCCAGGACAGTTTAGTTTTAGAAAGTGTTTTACGGCAATTGCAACACAATAAGGTCATATAAGTGCCCAAGATTAGAGGTGTTACAAGAGAGTGACAAACAAAAAAGAAGGAGAGATAAGGACGATAGATGTTTGATAGGAAAGAAGAAGCAAACCACACCAGAGCACCCGCCAACCACCCCCTCTCCCAGTCAGGGGTCCCAAACAGGGCCATCTGCTCCATAATCCAGCACGACGCAAACTGAGCTAGCAAGGCGTCCAAATAAGGCTTATCAAAGACAGTCTCTAGTGGACTACCGAAAACTACCGGACAAATTGACATTACAATAGGTGATATCAGTCATCTGCATTGACAATACAAATTTTAAAAAACAAACAAAAATTAAACCCTCCCAAAACGCTTAGTTTTAGATTTAGTAGAGGTTTTATGGCGCTCACAACTGCATAAGGTCATACAAGCACCAAGGGGCGGATGTCAACAGAGAAGTCCTTACAGGGAATCAGATTTACTCTGCTCACCTCTCTAGCCTCAACAGCACAAAGTTTGCTTCGACTATCAGGGTACCCCAGAAAAAGCAGATCACAAGAGTGTGACAAAATACAAAAGAAGTAGAGGAAAAAATTACGATAGTAAGGATTAAAAAAGAAAAAGCAGCAATTCCCTGCTGTAGTTCAGGCAGTCATGATCATGACATCGATGCATCAGCCCATTTACAATTCTACTGTTTAGTATAGTATGGGGTTTTACTGTGCTCGCAACAGCATAAGCAATTCTACTGTGCATAATAACAGGTTAATGACCTCCTCTTTGGGAATGGCCTAAAGACACTTCAGTCAGTGGCACCGCCCCGGTGGGTGGATGTCAACAGAGCTAACCAGGCGCCCCAAATAAGGCTTATCAAAGACATTCTCTAGTTGACTCCCTAAAACAACCAGACAAAACGACATTTTATGACATTACAATAGGTGATACCAATCATTTACTTTTGACAATACAGATTTTGTTTTTCTTCCCAAAACTCTGACAGGGAACAAATAATTGTACATCTTCTTCTTCTCGATCGCATCACACTTGAAGTCTGGCATCAGTCATAAATTGGGCCGTCCTGCTCAGTTCATCTGTCGGCCCGTATAGCTTCTCTTGCAGCGTCAGTGGGGTTGGCCACGTTTCCTGTCTCAGGGCCCTGTGTGTCTTGCAGTGCTGAAGGATGTGTTCAACAGTTTGGTCCGCCTCTCCACACTGGCATTTTGGTGATTGTACTAGTTTAAAACATTTGTACATATGTTGTCTCAGTCTTGTGTGTTGTGTCCTTAGTCTGAAGATAATCACTTGTTCTTGGCGGGACAGCTCATGGTAGCCATCTGGTGTCTGAGGTGCTTTAAATAGTGTATTTATAATAGTTTTTATTTCTGTGTAGTTAACGCTGTTGTCTGGTTGCTCTTTCTGTGCTCCTAGTTTGGCCATCCTGTCTGCCTGCTCATTTCCTAAGACACCACAGTGTGAAGGAATCCACTGCAGCATGATCCTCAGACATGGGATGTCCTCAATTTCTTTTCGTAGCCTTGGTAGTTTGCCGGAAGTGATTGCCTGCAGTACTGACATGGCATCTGCTAGGAACACTACTTGGCTTTGGGGGTCTACCACAAATAATTGTACAAAAACAAACTGGCCGTTTTGTTTGTTATGTTTGTTTGATGTTCTAGTTTTAGTAGAGGTTTTACGGCGCTCGCAACTGCATGAGGCATGAGGTCATATAAGTGCCGAAGATTAGGGGTGTTACAGGAGAGTAACAAACATAAAAAAGAAGAAGGGGAGATAAGGACGACAGATGTTTGACAGGAAAGAAGAAGCAAACCACACCAGAGCACCCGCCAACCACCTGTTTGTTTGAGTAAAGAGAAGCACATTGATACACTAATGGTCGACACAGTAGTGATCATTTAGTGCTGGGAAAAAAGTAAGACAAACAGGCAGAACAGAGGGAAAGTAAAGAAGTAAGAACTACCAGCGGCACCCTCAAAACACCTGTGGCACTGGCTGAGAGACTAGCAAACAGACCAAAAAAAAATATTTGGTGGTTAGCGGGTGCTCTTGTGTGGTTTGCTCCTTTTTCCCTATCAAACATCTATCTTCCAATCTCTCCTCCTTTTTTTGTGTTTGTTACTCTCTTGTATCACCTCTAATCTTTGGCACTTATATGACATTGTCTTGCAAGTGCCGTAAAACACTTACTAAAACTAAAAATATTGATAGATCTCGACAGACAGACATTACCCCACCCCTCACCTACAAAGAAAAAAAGAAAAAAAAAGAAAAATTAAGAAGCAAACAAACAAGAGCAGGAAATAGCCGCTCCTCAATCACATGTCAGAGCCATCGACATATCGCGACCTCAGTGCTTTCTTGTCGTACCTCCATTTTTTTTAAAAGTGAAAATGTGACTTCTTCTTAAGCTCACTCTTTGTTCTGAACTGTTTTCACTGTTATTAAACATGGAGATAGGACAAGAGAGCACTGGGGTCGACATAAGCCACTCCACCGAACGTCATCAGTTACATAATAGACAACAGATCTACTATCACCAGTACCGACCACCAACAATCTGATCACTACACGACAACCACTTTCCAACCATGGCACAGATGGCCGCTGATAAAGCTACTCATTTGTTACGGAGAACAATACAATAGCATTCTCCTTCGCTGAGAGGATGGGGGCAGTAGCCTGCCACTTGGCTCTTCCTTCCTTCCTTTGTTTCGTTTGATTTTTGGGGAGGTTTTGTGTGGGGGCGGGGGTTTGCAAGTGTTTTAAAGCACCTACAACACAATAATGACATTGCCAAAGATTACAAGTGATACAAGAGAGTATCAAACACAAAAAAGAAGGAGGGGAGATAAAGACGATCTAGATGTTCGACAAGAAAGAAGAAGCAAACCACACTAGAGCTCCTGCCAACCACCCACTTGCCGAAGATTAGAGGTGTTACTAGAGAGTAACGAACACCAGAAAAGAGGAGCAGAGGTAAGGAAGACAGATGTTTGATAGGAAAGAAGAAGAAAACCACAACAAACCACCCACTTTTGTTTGAAGCAGGTGTTTTAATTAGTTTTACGGCACTATTGACTCGGTTTTGGTCGCAGGAGCCTGCAACTAGGCTCTTCCTCCATTCATTTTGTTGGAGTAGGTGTCTTACGGCACTATCGACTCGGTTTTGGTCACAGTAATCTGCAACTAAGCTCTTCCTTCCTTTGTTTTGTTTTTTTTTTAATCTTAGTAAGGCACCCAAGAAATAGAACTTCACAAGAGTGACAAGCATACAAAAGAAGTAGATGAAAAATGACTATAGTAAGCATGAGGAAAGAAAAAGCAGCAGATCCCCCTATGTTGTTCCTGCAGTTATGAGAATGATAAATTAGCCCATTTACAATTCTACTGTGCAAAAGACCATGTTAATATCCCCAGGGAATGGCCTAAAGACACTTCAGTCAGTAGCACTGCCCAGATGGGGGGAAGAGAAGGAACAAAAATAGGGACTTGTTCAAATCTGACGGACTGTCAGAGTTTTTTAAAGTTTTAGTAGAGGGTTTTACGGCGCTCGCAACTGCATAAGGTCATATGAGCGCCAGGGGGTGGGTGTCAACAGAGAAATCTTTACAGGGAATCAGACTTACCCTGCACACCTCTCAAGCTTCAACAGTACAAAGTCTGCTTCAACTATCAACTATCAAGGCACCCCGGAAATAGCAGGTCACAATAGTGTGACAAACATACAAAAGAAGTAGAGGATAATGACAATAGTAAGGATTAGGAAAGAAAAAGAAGCAGTTCCCTGTTGTAGATTAGGCACAGTTATGAGCGTGACATGATGAATCAGCCCATTTACAATTCTACTGTGCATGTACGAGAAATGTCCCCCCTTTGGGAATGGCCTAACCTAAAGACACTATAGTCAGTGGCCCCGGAAGGACTGTCAGAGGTTGAGAAAAATATGATCACTAATATAGAGAGGACAAAACATAAAATTAGTAATCCAGCTGGAAAAATCCACTTGAAAATCCATTGACCTTTGGAAACTAGATTAGGAGGTTAACGTATACGGTACAATTTGATAAAGCTACAACAGCCACTGCTCAGAGGCAGCATTCCCTAACTGATGATACACTCCGGCAATACGACCGTCGCAGATAAAACAATTATCTCCTGATAACACACGGGGTTGCCACAGACACAGCCCCAGACTCAGCACACCGCTATAGCAACAAAACCCCAGCTGTTACCATAGGCCACTAATTTTTTCCACACTTCACACACACATTTTTATGGGTTCAACGAAAATGACACGATGACAATGTGCCTTTTTTAAGAGAATGTCATATGCATTGTACGGGAAATAATAATTTTATAAGTAACAAATTTTCTAAACTGCAAGCTGACTGAGAACTACAAAAAAAAATTTTTTTTTAAAGCAACAGACACAGATTGAGATAACAGTAAAAGATGATAACAGTTGTCAAGAGCATGCTTTAGGGTAAGGGCAAAAGTTCTGCTATATAAATGTAAGTTCTATTATGACTAGCGTTGTCAGAGCGAAAAGAATCAATGGGATAATTTTTTAAAATACAACTCACCAACAGCCAAAAGGACAGCAAAGATGACAATCTTCATGGTGACGTTCAAATTTCAGTTGCAGTAGATAACAAAATCTGGAAGGTTTTTTTTAGTTCTTGAGTTGCAGAAAAATGTCAACCAGCCCTTTTTATTCTGTGAAGAAAAATATGGAACTTAAACAATATTCAACATTCTAGAAAGAAAAATGACATCCTTATTCTCAGTTTTGAAAAGTGCTTTAGAAAGGAGAGCAAGTGTTTCAGATTGTGTTGTCTTTTGTCAGGAACACAGACTGAAACGGATAAATTCTACATAACCTAAGTAAGTGTTGAAGGAGTAGTACTATGCCCGAATCAATGGCCACTGTTGGATTATTTCCCAGGCCTCGTAACCTCAGTAAGGACCATTCCATGAAAAGTGAAACAGTAGTGACACGCATAATGTGTGGAGGCTGATCATGACCAGCTGAACAAAATTCTAAGCAATGATACAGCCAGTGTTTTTTCCTGTGCTAGAGGATTGTTGTTTAACAACAAAACAAAACAAAACAAATAAACGAAAAAAAATGGCTGTCACAGTTCAAAATTTTTTTAGCCCATCATCCCTGTTTTTCATTTGTCACTGCAGTTTCACATTTCATGGGAATGCTCGGTTTAAAAAATGGCTATTTACAGAACGCAAAAAAAAAGGGCAAGATAAATAGCCCAACAAAAACAGTAGATGCAAGAAAAGAAATAGGAGACCTACCAGTAGAGGCTTCCCACCCACCATGTGCCAGCTCGCGACAATAAACCAATAGACAATACAAATGGCCATCACATTTTTACAAACAAAAACAGACGAGGTAAAATTAATGTGAGGCAGTACCTTGAATCCAATCCTCCTTGCATGAAAAAACAAGAAACATTTCAAACAGACACAGCATCACTTGGGTATAATGCACATTTTTTACAACAGAAAAATCAATAACAAGATGGAGACATTCCACTTGGCGAACTGCTCCAATTCAAAGACAATTTCACGACATCCCTCTTTTGGGAATACATTCAGGTTTGCCTGTATCACAGTACAGCAGGATTGGAACTAATGGATTCTAACAATCTAACACAATAGAATCAAACAAGGGAAGGTGAACCTGGGAAAATTACAACAGCTCATGAACAGCACATACATAACTAAATCCTAACACTAATACTGAACAAACCAGCACAGAAGGCGGAGAAGGCATCTCCCGTAGTCTATAGCCGAGAAACAGATCCATCCCTCTTCTTATCTTTTTTTAAAATCCCAAGTTCAATGTTCTGCTTGACACACACAATAGAGCAAACCGGCTCTCAAGTAAGTATATCCGCCAAGACCCAGCCATTATGCAATAGATAATGCTAGTTCAGCATCCACATCTCCACACATCTATAGGCTACTTGTGTGGGTCTGGACAACTGGGCCAACTGTGTTATATCCATTCTTTCTTCACTAAGCTCAGTGACGGGGCCAACTGAAGGGCTACAGGAGGGCTCAAAGCCCCACCCACTCCCACTCCAAACTCTTTCCCTACGTAAATGAATATTAAATATATGTGTGCGCCTGAAGAAAGTACCAAAAGCCAGATTTTGACCATTTTGAGTTAAGGATTGTACCTAATAGTGAAATTCAATGCTGAAAAGAGTGGGATTGTTTTCATTTTTTTAGATATTTCAAGCAGTTTTTGAGATATTGCACATTTTGCGAGGTATGGTATAAAGATATAATGAGAAAATGAACTCGTTTAACAAACTTGGAGACAAAAAAAAAGATTTTTTTTCATATTCATTGATGGAAAATTCATTTCCAATTTGGCATTTAGTAGACATCAATCAATATGATTACAATTCAATAGTAAAACATAGAAGGCAAGAGAAAACCAGCTTCCTTTTAGAAGAAGCCTACCCAAAAAAAATTCTAAATAAAATGTTTAGAAGTAAAATGAATAAAAACCCTTTTAACACATATAAAAAAAATTCTAAATAAAATGTTTACAAGTAAAATTAATAAAAACCCTTTTAACACATAAAAATCAATTTGTTTTAAAAAATGATGGAACTATCATTTTTTTATGGAAACAGTTCAAAAAAGTTACTTTTTGTCATTATTATCTGCCTGTAGCTTGAAATTGTCTTTTGGCGACTTTTGGTACCTTGATCCAGGCACACACACATTTCTTATTAAATAAAATTATCAGTTGATAGAAACAGTTTAGAATGCTTCAGAATTTTCGACCTTTAGTTGCACGCAGCGAACACACACACAGGATCTCTTTTCCAATCACTGTTGTCACCACTCACAACGAAACTAACTTAACAGTTAATCAAATGTCTTTAGCGCTCAGCATAGGATGAGCCAGTTCCCACGGAATTTTCTTAAAATGAAACTCTTCCTGAGAAAAGGTAAAAGAAACAAGAAAGAGCCCACGAAAACTATTGTTAGAGAGAGCTCGTTCTCTGCAAGCCGTGGGGGGGAGTTCGTGACACACTTGGCCCAGAAACCCAGTAGTTACCGAAACACGCTCATTGGGCCCTCGTTAGGAATGTCTTGCTTTGTGAGACTACACTGTCTAATCCAGTCACTGTTGTATGTACGCCTGTGAGAGTGTGGATGTAACATACATTAAAATTTTCTTGGAACTCAACTTACCCTCATTTCTTAGCTCCACCCACCACCATTGACTACGCTTGAGTGTGTAACAATGTCAAGCAGCAGGAAAAGATACTAGGCATGGCGCACCGGCAGTAGAATTTTAGTTGCCGCGGGGGGGGGTCCCCGCGGGCGCCTTATCACGTCGAGGTCACAGGGATCAGCTCCCTGTCATTGCTCTGTCTGGGCCGACTTAATTTTTGTACTTTTCAACGTACAGTTTTTAGTGTATCCTTGTATTTATGGTAATTCTCATTTAGTGCACCCAAAGCATGCATTTCTGCTCTTGAGACTCAAAAAAGTCTGGTTATTTTGTTAGACGCGCTGGAGTCAGCAATGCTAAATTGTAATTTGGGGGGGGGGACTAGCGAGAATGAAAAAATCAATATAAAAAAAAAAGCCTCAACAAAATCTGTCGAACTTTTGGAACATAAACGACATAGCATTGGTGCAGATACTCATAAAAGATGGTATCTGCGCATATGATAGAAAGCTGTAATTTTGCAACTTTATCCATCAGGCACACAATTCGCTATGAAGTAATTCCTCCACATACAACTTTATGTGTCTAATATAATCGTGAATATTCGCATATTTTCTCGAAAGTTTATAAAAGTTACCATGAAGTTTCTCTCATGAAAAGTACAAATCAATTTTAGTGCCAGAATACATCTTCAATGTATTACATGAACAGTATCTGTTACATTCAAGAAATTCTTTATTTTTCTTAAAACGTTAGGTCTAGGTTTTGTAAGTTGACTGAATAACAGGGATGACTTCTCGTAATTTGGTTATAAGAATAATTTCTAGCTTTCCAGGGACACCGAATCAGCACCAGACTTTTCCAGCTTTTTTTTTCATTTCTATGACCATTTGCAATAACAGACAATGTGACTGATTTCTTTACATTCATAATTGTGTCTGCACATATTTCCGACACAAAAAATAAGAATGAATGTGTTAGCAGTCATTATTTTTATTCCATACAAGAAGTTTATCTCTACCCATGTATTTACACCGTTTTGAGGTTTTTTTTAATTGTTTATATTATATCTTTTTAGTTGTATGCAGGCTGCCACAGACACAGCATGATTCATGAACAAACGCAGAGTAACTTTCTTTTGTTTAATAGTAAAATAAGAGCTAACGCTGATCGTCTTTAGTTAAAAACTGCAGATGTGCATCTTTCTTCTCTTATAACTTGACTATTACTACTCGCGCATATTTAAGATTTCTCATGGTAAAAGACATGATATTCGTAGTCAGTTTAACACAGATTTTGGAGAGATCTGTCATGCCTATTTTAAATTAACAATCATTTATTCATAAGTTTGTGACTAAAATAGGACAAATTGGGTACTCTACAAAAACTTGTCTGGAAAAAAAAAATAAGGCACGGAAATTAACCATTCTAACGCAGGATAAATCTCAAGACATAGAGCTTTTAGTGCATCCGCGTAATGGTTTGATGTGTGGGATGGGGAAGAATTTATATCGTTTTAAACATAGTCAAAAATGCGAACTTCCTAACCGACACCAGTTAAGTCGCTTCAGGGCTCATTAACCCCGTGACCCCGAGCCGGGGAGCTCCGGTGGGCTGCTGAGTCACGCTAACTAAAGGTAACAGAATCGGGCGAAAAGTGACGCCGTGCAGGATGCATTCTGGGGTTTTTTTTGTTTTAGAAGAGGTTTACGGCACTCGCAACTGCATATAAGGTGATATGAGCGTCAAGGGGTGGATGTCAACAGAGAAAGTCTTTACAGGGAATCAGACTTACTCTGCTCACCTCTCTAGCTTTAACAGCAGAAAGTCTTTCGACTATCAAGGCACCTCGGAAATAGCGGGTCACAAACATACAAAAGAAGAAGAGGAAAAATGACGATAGTAAGGATTATGAAAGAAAAAGCAGCAGTTCCCTGTTGCAGTTCAGGCACAGTTATGAACATGACATGAATCAGCCCATTTACAGTTCTACTGTGCATAAAGAACAGATTAATTTTAATGTTTCCCCTTTGGGAATGGCCTATTAAAGTCTAAAAACACTTCAGTCAGTAGCACCGCCAAAATATAGATGACGTATTTCCCCCAAGACTCTTGGGTTTCCCTCGCCAGTAACTGTTGACTAGATCTCGCTGTATTAGTGATAGATCTCGCCGTGTTTTTTTTTTTTTTTGGAATGTTCTCTTTTAGCGGCCTGCGGCAAGAAGATTAGTGCCGAGAAAACCAAGCAAATGATCAATAATACCAATGGCTTCTGGAGCTTCTCTGGGTTGCCATGGAGTTGTGTGGTTGTTGTCTTTGTAAAAGCTGGCCTTTCGGTGATGTAGTAGCCGTTGATGAACTTGTATGTTTCAATCATATCACCATGTAACATAAGATGTTCTGGGGATGGATGCTTTAATTTCTTCAGTCTCTCATAATAAGGCTTTTCTTTGAGGTGGCTCAGCATTTTGGTAGCCCGCCTTTGAACTTGCACGATTTCACTACATTGATCTCGTCCTTTTTCAAAAGGTTGCCAAACACAGTGTGCATACTCTAATAAAGGCCGCACGAAACTCTTGTAGAGCAAAACAAACATATCCTCAGGAAGGTAGTCAAATGATCGCCTAATAAGGCCAATACAATAGGTTGTCTATGACTATATGAACTTGGTCCTTGGATAGAGAAAAAAAGACACCACACAGCAGAGAATGTCGGAGTTTGCAGAGTGCACATACAGCACGGCGAGTCGCACAACACGATACTTCTGTGAGAAGAATGAGGGTGGACCGTCCGGTTACCCTGTACGTAAACTCTGAGACTACGTGCCCGGTTACCGAGTACGCAGACACTCCGAAACATAATTTTTTTTTTTTATTATCAATTTGCGGTGAACATAGAACTAGATCTATATCTAATACTAGATCTAGATCTATAGAGTTAATATTCGTGTGAAACGGATAAAAACAAACAATAAAAGGGCTCTTCTTACAGATAATACTGATAATGATTTGCTTCAAACTTGTTAGCTTTGGCTTTGGCAAAGTTTTCTGGTAAGTCTACACTGTCTGTTAGATCTAGATCTAGATTTAGATCTAGATTCTAGATATCTAGATCTAGATTCTAGATCTAGTGCAAGATTTCTATCCGTTCCAAAATTTTGTTCCTCATTTTAGATGAACAGTGACTTGGCTAATCTACATCAAATTCAAGCCCACTTCTTTGCCATCGTAAAAGAGGAATGATTCATTTAGAATTCGAACTTGATCAAATTCAACGAAGTAAGTAAGTTTAGGAGACAACTGTCATGCTGTTCACTATTCAACAACAACAGAGTACAACAAAGGCAAAGCGGCCGAGCATTCAGCAGTAGCTGTAGTTGTTTGATTTTGGTTTGTTTTTCTGTTCTACGAACACATTCACTGACAATCATCCTTGCCTTTCTAAATGAAAAATATGACTGGCAGCAAGCTTGCAACAAGGCTCAATGATCATTTGATGAACTAGGAAGTTGAATCCCAATGAGTTGGAGGCTAGGGGACTTTTGTCACTGTTTCTTGTTGAGTAGAAAGGGGTGGGCCATGGGGGGAGGCAAAATTGCCTTCGTTCACCAGGTTAGTTTGATAACTTTGAAATACTTACCCTGACAATCAATCTAATTAACAAAAACAGCTTTCGTATTCATTTTTGTAAACTGAAATATGTAAAGGAAAGCTCTGATCCTGACGAATGTACCGCCCCTGCCTCAGGCCAGAAAATTCGTTTCGACTGACTGCTGGGAGTAGGCCTACAACATGACGAGTAGCCTGTAGCAGTTATAATGAGACCCTGGATTCAAAACGGTGCTGACGACATAATGTAACAAAACCTTTTTTAACGGGTGACCTACCTTTACAGCTTCCTCTTCCAAAATGTGCCGAATTAAGTTGTTCTTCGGATCAAGATATTTTAGACTGGAATTGGAACGATAGTCACTTTCACGTGAACCAAAGACATCACTGAAAAACAACCGTCATATGACCGGGTCACGTGGTTAGCTGTTCACTCTTCGGAGATTTACGAAACGTTTGGTTTTTTACGGTTATTTGTTTCTGTAAATCCCTGAGTGATTCAGTAAACAAACGCTCTCTGAAACAAAATACGTTCTGTACTAGATCTAGGTTCTGTAGACAAATCTTTTAAATCAGCTTATTCAATCAAATGCCACCTGGACAACCATGCTTGGTGGCACTCTATTTCATTAATTCTGCATCAGTTTCTTTGCATTCTTTCATAAACAGTAAACAGGAGTGCATTTTCTGGGGAAAACGAAATGGCTTGCCATTTTTGCCAAAATTCAAGTCACATTATCGGAGTGACCGCCAAGAAAATATCATCAAGTGCAAAAATTGCTCGAATTCTAAAATTTAAAAAGTAAATAAGATTTACACGAATTTTTAGCAGGTCATATCTCATACAAAGAAATCAGAAAGGCACAATCTTTGAGGTCTCAGTGTTACTCTAAGAAAAATAAATTTTCAATTATTAATTTGTTGCCTCGTGCCAATTTGGCATACACAAATAATCGTCAGAGGAGACGACAAGGAAGACATTATTCCAGTAGTGCAAAGGAGATTAAAAGTAGTTCTTAGCTCCTTCCAGTAGTGGCTTTTCCCCCGCCTCCCTTTCCATGACACAACAGACTTACATATTATTATTAGTTCACAACTAAAGCAACAATGGCGTCTTGGACTAGACCCTAGTGACTGATCTGATACGATATAGCCTTGGGTCTTGAGAATAAAAATATAATTTACGATCATTACAATGAGTTGTGCAATTTCAAAGGGGGGGAACCCATTGTATTTTTTGCATTCTATTAGAAAGCATTGTATTTGCCCTTGTTACCTTGTAAGTAACTGTAAAGAATAAATAGGACCAAGATTCTACATGCCGATTAAAAATTTAAAAAACGACCACCAGAGAGCTTAGCCTCAGTTAACATAAGAGAAGGGCAGTAGGTCTAAACTATGCTATCTCCAGTCTTTCTAAATTTAATTGGTTCATTGCACAAAACGAAACCGTTTCAGTTTGGTTTCTTTTGCACCGGAAAAAAAGAATTGGTTGTAGTGGTTCAATATAAATGTATTCAGTAATAGGCTCCAGCAGCTATTTTGTTATTGCTGTTGTTGTGGTTGTAGTTGTACTTGTTGTTGTTGCTGTTGTTGCTGCTGCTGCTGTTTTGTTGCTTTTGTTCATTTGTTTGGGTTTCTTGTTTGTTTGTTTGTTTGTTTATGTTTGTTGTTTTCGAACTTGGACATACAAAAAAAAGCCCCAGAATCCTACACTCATACATGCATACCATACCCTCACATGTTACCACACATTTAGCCTACACAGGATATCATGGCCATCAGCTCTCTCTCTCTCTCTCTCTCTCTCTCTCTCTCTCTCTCTCTCTCTCTCTCTCTCTCTCTCTCTCTGTCTGTCTGTCTCTCTCTCTCTCTCTCTTTCTCTCTTTGTCTCTCTCTCTCTCTCTCTCTCTCTCTCTCTCTCTCTCACACACACACACACACACACGTGTAAGTAATAGTACAACAAGTCAGGCCCGGGTCTTAAAACAACACTCAACACGACAAGGAAACTTCTACCAAGGCACCGCACATCCTTGCTGCAGCATCTCTCTCTCTCTCTCTCTCTCTCTCTCTCTCTCTCTCTCTCTCTCTCTCT